GGAAGAAACCAGCTACTAGACGGTTCGATTAGTCTTTCGCCCCTATACCCAAGTTTGACGAACGATTTGCGCGTCAGTATCGCTACGAGCCTCCATCAGGCTTTCGCCTGACTTCACCCTACTCAAGCATAGTTCACCATCTTTCGGGTCCTAACAGATGTGCTACAACTCAAACCTCTCACAGAGTTCGTGGTCTGTCGTAGGTGCGAGAAATGCAAAACGCAAACATCTCGCTACTCTCACTTTCACTGTGCATACAGTGCTGCCTCCCGACAGCAACGCAGGACGAGAGTACTCGACGGTGGAGCGGAAGAATGCGGAAAACAAACCTCGGCAGGCTCCTGATCAACGCAATCAAGTGATGCCAGTCGGCCCCAGAGGAGCTTATCATATGGGCGGCATCTTCCAGTTTGACCTTGACTCGAGGGAATTGAGCAACCTGCTGAATGTTTGCGGGCTTTTCAATAGGAAGAGTGTCTCGTCATTCTCCAATTAATGGAAAGTACCGGTTTGNTGAATGTTTGCGGGCTTTTCAATAGGAAGAGTGTCTCGTCATTCTCCAATTAATGGAAAGTACCGGTTTGCGGGGGTTGCACGTCTCATCGTGTTCAATTCTGTGCAATCGAAACCGTAGTGTAATGGGCGCGGCAATTTAAGGGTGTTTTGAACGATTTCATCTGTAGTGCCTACGACTAGAACGCATATAGAATAGCAGGTGTAGTTCAATCTTCCTTGGCGTTTGTACCCGCCGCTGCATTTCTGCAGGAACTCTATTCTTCTCCGATTGGGAGAAACTGGGATGAGATTGTGCAAAGCAGGCTCCATTGATGCTATCATTTTCGTTTGCGGCAATATGTGAAAAAGGAGCCTGAATAGAGCTATTTTTCGATGCCTCTGAAGAGGGATATGAGTTCTCCATATCTGGAAACTGGTATATTCCGTGGATTTATAGCCTCTGCTAACGCCTGAAGGTTTCAACAGCGGTATCGTAGGGTTCGACGGGTTTTAGGATCCATGCACAGCCCTTGGCTATATATTCCGCGATTTGTAAACAAGGCGGACGAAGCGTCTGGACCCTTACACAACCCAGTAAGTAGGCAACAGCTAAAAGTTAAGTACTCCGTGTAAATTAAAGCAGGCTTTAAAAACGACCTTAAAAAGCGTAAAAGACTGCAAAATAACCCCTCCCCACTTCCTACCCCGCCCCCCCCCCCCCCCNCCCCCCCCCCCCCCCCTCCCGCAACGCGTTTTTGCACCGGGGTGCAACGTCGCACAGGGTGCGCCGACTGAGCATGCACCCGGGGGCGCACGTCTCCCCTCCCCTCAGGTGTTGAGCACGGGCTTGACACACAAGAGCGAAGACGCGAGATATCACCACTTTTGATTGCCTCCCAGGCAAGAACTCCGGAAGCTAGCCTGAACTTTGTGTCAGTGAATATGGATCACAATATGGGGGGTCACCTCGCAGAAAGGCGGAGGTGACGGAGGAATCCGCACATTCCCCTGCCGAGTTTGACCTGGTTTGACCTGCTGCAATCCTCCAAAACAAAAAGGAGGGCTGGAGCGGTAGGCGATTGGGGCAGTCAGAGATCCCCACGAACATTGCCAACTCTCTGTCTCCAATCTCGAGCTCCATTGTCTCCATGTTGCTTGGGCAAGTGTAGCAGACAGAGCCTGGATTCTTCCAACACAAAGATGAAAGTAGGGATCAAGAATGATCCCTTCCTGCCGTCAGCTATCTTTGAGTGGTGCGGCGAAAGCTCCACCTCTTTCGCGTATAGTCGAGTACAAGCGGCTGTTATTGTGTGAGGCAATGTTCCGCAAGGTGAACGGCTCCTGCCAGTCTCTATCGGAGTTAGATGACGAGACATCTGGCCACCATAATTATTATTTTACGATTTTGCCAAAATCTCCAGGAAGCAGATTTTCGCGCAAGATCTGTCATATAGGTTCACGCCTCAGCGGGTGTCCGACCGGCCACCACACACTAGAAGTAAAACCTCTGGTATCCCCCAAGCGCTCTGCCAGGAATGATGCAGTTGCAGCTTGGAATCGATCGGCCGAGCAGGCACAGCGGCGGCACGAGCAGCAGCTGATGCTCGATGAGACCCTATATGGTTTGGCGGAGGCAGGGGCCAATTTTGGGGTCATCAATGTAACTTGACAACCCCGAAATGGCAGCAGCAGGAGTGTAAAGGGAGGAGAAGAGCTCAGACCCTCAGGAGGCAATTTTAGCATTGTTTTCCAATGGTCAAAATTGCCGACTGAGCTCACGCGTCAGTCACGCCCAGACCCATGCGCCAGTGCAGCATTGAAACCCCTTCCTTTTCTGTTTTTCCTGTTTCATTAGTTCATAAAACATCAAATTGAACACAATGGGAGATACAGAGGGCAAAAAGGATGCAGATTCGTGTCTGCACCTATTCGCTGCAGCAGCGCAGCAGCAGCCCAGTGACGAGGAGTCGTTGGCTGAGGAGCGACACTGAGGAGGTTTCTCAGCAATCTCAGGCCCTCAGTAGCTCCCAAACGGAAACTAGAGAAGGCCAGGAAGCGCGGGATAACGAAATCAACAGGATTACCGACCCCCACACTGGGGGTACCACAGCACAGCAGTCTGCACTCAGAGTTATAGCCGGGAGTGTAGGGCACACTACAAGCAACGTCAAGAAGGCGTTGCTTGCTCTTCGCGAGGAAGAGAAGGCACAGCAGGGGCGCAACACAGCTCCAGAGTCGCTTTATGGCAAACTGAAGAAGCGGGCTCTGGAAAGAAACCTCCATACAGCGCGTCGCCGCCTCATCAGCGTCCTACAGGGGGCGTCGGCTCAGCAGCTTCAAACACTGTATCAAACAGACCGAAGGAAGTGTGTGGAGAAAATCCTAGCCGACAAATATCACCCGAGAAGCCAAGACTGTCCTATTCCACTCACTGAGCTGGAAACATACTTTATGCATCAACACTCTGAGCAATCTATTGACACCCACTGCCAAGTTGCTAATGAGTTCCTAGATCCTTTGGCTGCAGCTCCTGGAGGGGCTAAGCGGATTGATCTTTCCTTCACAGAAGAGGGTGTGCGTGCTCAGCTGCGAAAAAGCAACATTATCTGCAGCAGGGCCGGATGGGATAGGGTTCTCTGTGTATAAGCAGTTTGAAGATGTGCTTGTTCCAGCGATGACTGCGATATATAACGCTTGTTCCCAGCATCGAAAAGTGCCAGTGAAGTGGAAGCAGGGCGTGACGGTATTGATCCCGAAAGGCGGAGACCGAACGAGGGTCAAGAACTGGCGACCGATCAATCTGCAGGACTGCACCTACAAACTCTATGCAGCCATGTGGGCCAGCAGGATCACCGACTGGGCAATCCAGTCGGGAGTAGCCTCAGTCGCAGAAGGGTTTCATGCCAGTGAATGGCTGCCATGAGCACCTGTTTCTTGCACAAAGCATCCTCAACTCCACGCGCAGGTGCAAGGCATCACTGTACATGACCTACTGCGACCTGAAAAATGCGTTTGCGCCCATACCTAACAAGCTCATACACACTGCCTTGCAGGCTCAGCGGCTTCCGAAGCATCTTCAGGAGATCGTCAGCGATCTCTACGAAGGAGCAAGCTTCAGCATTTTGACGAAGGAGGGCTCCTCAGGAATCATCGAGAATAGGAGGGGAGTCAAGCAAGGCTGCCCCCTTAGCCCTATCCTTTTCAGCCTTGCCATTGATCCGCTGTTGCGGCGGCTGGCAGCATGCAATGCAGGCCCAGAACTACGTACGACAGATGGGAAGCTAGCAGTCAGCGTTTCTCATATGGCGTAAGCAGACGAGTTGAAGACCGTTGCCAACAGCTGTGAGGGGATCAGCAGCCTTCATCAGGTGGTGACGGCATTCTTCCAATGGACAGGTTTAGAGGCCAACCCGTCCGAATGCGCTACCATGGGATGGAAGGTGGTCCAGACCAAACAGCAGCCGGATCCAGTCCAACTCCGGCTGCACAATGAGGTCTTGCCGGTGGTGAAGCTTGGGGAGGCCTACAAGTATCTTGGACTCAAGGATGCCCTAGAAACTACCGTACACCAAGGCCAAATCCTTCGAGTCATGAGCAAAGTCAAAAAAGACTTTGCTAAGATCCTCAGGTCGGCATTACTCCCCTGGCAGAAGTTGGATGCTGTGCGTACCTTTGTGATGTCTCGGCTTGATTATCATCTCAGGCACTGCTACCCCTACAAACAGCAGATGGTCTTGTTCGATCGTCATATCCGTGCCATTCTGAAAGCGACGTTCAAGCTTTCAAAGAGCACGGCTACAGAGGTGTTTCATCAGCCCTCCTCTCAGGGGAGATTAGGATGTACATCGCTGCAGACGATCGCAACAGCAACGCAAATAGGACACGCCGTTCAGATGCTCAACAGCAAGGACAGCATGATCCAAGCCGTTGCAGAAGGCCAGGTGCTAGAGGTCATCAAGAGGGCGTATGTATACACACCCGATAGTGATGAGAGTGACCGAGTAGCAATACTTGCATACCTCAACGGACGAGACATTGGATGTCTCAAGAAGAGGAGCAAGAAGGTGGATATTAGAAGCTTATGGTCGGAACTCCCAGGAAACATTTCGGCGAGCAAAACGCGGATCGAGACTGGGAGTGATGGCAGCTATCTGGTGAAGACGGCAGATGGCTCCACTCTCGACCAAGAGCATATTATTAGAAGTATCAAGCACCGTATGGCAGGGTGGCAACATGATGTGTAGAAGGAGAAGGTAGACCAAGGGAAATCGGTGGCCTACCAGACAGCGACTAGCAATGCTTGCCTACGGGGACCGACTCGTCTGAAGCCAGAAGAGGTCGTCTTCGCCTTGAGAGCACGCTCTGCGCAACTTCCTGCACGAGCACACCTGAAGAAGATCAAAGCTTCAAAGGTATCTTGCTGTCGCCACTGCGCAGCCGACCGTGAAACACTTGCGCACGTCCTTAATCACTGTCCTCACAGCCTTGACAGCAAAATCAAAGAAAGACATAACAAGGCTTTGGAGAGGATCACAACAGCCATCAAACGCAGCGGGGTGAATCGTGGGAAAACTATCCAGATCGACAGCTGTCCAACAGACATAGAGACCTTATTGAGGCCAGAGATCATTCTGAGAGACGGCCAGTACAAGCAGATGGCAATAGCTTATGTAGCTATTGTTTTTGAAGGCTATGAGCAGAACTCGTTTTGATCTGCTCGTATACACAAGGAAGAGAAATACCAAAGCCTCAAAAAGCACGATGAAGACCGTGAGTATCGGGTGACGGGGCAGGCATTAGTATATGTTTCCGTGGGGTGTACTGCAGAAGAGAACATCAAACTGCTTACACAAGACTTTGGGATCAATGATCACACAGCGTGGGCCGTCCAACGCGAAATTAGTACTGACCGCATCCGTCATAGCATTGTATCTGGGGTTGTCACATACCAGACAAAGGTTCGTGACGAGTGAGACGAAGCTTTCGCTCCCGAGCCCACACTTCTTAAGCTGTAGTTCACACTTATAGACTAATAAGCCACTAATACTCCAACACTCGGTCCCACTATGGGAACATCTGCTTCTGTCTCTATAGAGACAGATTCTGCCTCTATAGAGATAGCCTCTGTCACTATAGAGACAGCTTCTGTCGCTATAGAGACACCAAAAGACGCGTGAAGACAGTTTGCCCGAGCCCTAGCCCACGTGCACAACTACTCCAGCGCTCCTCTTCGCATAATCCTTTGGCAAAACAGCCGCATGTATATCCTCGTATTTCGTTCCTCTTCAAAACAGTTTTATACACGCCCTTTGCATGCATTCTACATCCCAAAACTGCTGACTTTGAAACAACTTTGAAATGTAGCCGTGATGTTTCTCACAGGAACAATTCACCAGCAAAAGCTACTTTGTCAGGCAAATTCGCCCACAACTCCCACATAGCAGACTAAAGGAGCTATATTCTTCTGAATTATGCAGAAAAACGCATCCCTGAATTCGAATTCGTGACAGTGCTAATCCCCAAAGGAGAGGACCCGAACTGCGTGAAGAACTGGCGACCAATCAATCTACAGGACTGCATATACAAGCTCTCCGCAGCACTGTGGGCAACCAATATTACCAACTGGGATATCAAGGCTGGAGTCGCCTCACAGTCGCAGAAGGGATTCATACCAGTGAATGGGTGCCATGAGCACCTCTTCCTTGCCCAAAGCATCCTCAACTCCACGCGGAGGAGCAAGAAAGCAGTGTACATGACGTACTACGACTTGTAGAACGCCTTTGGATCCGTCTCACACCATCATCTCAGGCATTGCTACCCCTACAAACACCAACTGTCCGCATTTGATATTCACGTCCGTGCCGTTCTGAAGGCAGCGTTCAAGCTCGCAAAGAGCACGATCAAATAGGTATTTCACAAGCCCATCTCTAACGGAGGAGTGGGATGTACCTCCATACAGACGATTGCAACAGCAGCGCAGATTGGACATGCTATCCAAATGCTCAACAGCCCTGATGACATGATCCGAGCGGTTGCAGAAGGCCAGGTGCTGGAGGTTATTAAGCGGGGATTTGTTTACACGCCTGATAATGAGAGTAGCGGTCCAGAGGCTTTTCTTGCCTACCTTAACGGTAAAGACATAGGATGTCTTAGAAGGAGAAGCAAGAAAGTGGATATAAGAAGCCTATGTTCAGAACTCCCAGGAAATATATCGATGAGCAAGGCGCGACTCATAAGTGGGAATAATGGTTGCTATGTGCTTCAGAAAGCAAATGGTACCGAGCTAGACCTGACGTAGTTCATTAGAAGTATTAAACAGCATATAGCAGAGTGGCAAAGGGAGGTGTGGACAGAAAAAGTAGATCAACGGAAATCTGTGGCCTACCAGACAGCAGATAANAGTGGCAAAGGGAGGTGTGGACAGAAAAAGTAGATCAACGGAAATCTGTGGCCTACCAGACAGCAGATAACAGTGCTTTTCTCCCGGGACCGACTCGTCTGAAGGCAGAAGAAGTCATCTTCGCCATACAAGCAAGATCTGCTCAGCTTCCCACACGAGCATACCTCAAAAGAATCGGCGTATCGAAGGTATCCGGTTGTCGCCACTGCGCAGCTGACCCTGAATCCGTCGCTCGTATTCTTAATCACAGCGCGCACAGCTTGGACAGCAAGATAAACGCAAGACACAACAAGGTATTAGAGAGGATTACAGCAGCCATAAAACACAGCGTGGTTAGCAGGGGGAAAACATTCATGATTTATAACTGCCCAGAAGACACGGTAACACTATTGAGAGCGGATATTATTCTGCAAGATGAACACATGAAGACAATCAAGATCGCAGATGTAGCGATTGTCTTTGAAGACTACAAGGAAAACTCGCTCGGCTCCGCTCGCATCCAGAAAGAAAAAAAATAGCAAGATGTCAAGCCCCACTACGAGAAACGTGGGTATCCGGCATCAGTGCATGCCTTAGTATATGCTCCTTAGGTTGTATAGCGCAAGAAAACAAAAAGGTGCTGACAGAAGAACTAGGGATTGCAGAACGCACTGCATGGNAGGTTGTATAGCGCAAGAAAACAAAAAGGTGCTGACAGAAGAACTAGGGATTGCAGAACGCACTGCATGGGCTATACAACCCAATATCTGCAGCAGTTTATAGTGTAGTCCCTCCCTACATATCGAGGTGCTACTGTGTTCATAAAGCTCTCTTGTTACGCTTTTAAAGGCGTACGGCGGGACATCTTGCATAACGCCTCTAAAGGCGTATGGTGGGGCATGCTGCATGAAATTACCTTGCGGGGAAATTCGAAGTTGGCGGCCAACCAGTATTCTCAACCTCGTGATCATGCACCTGCACCTTCTATTAACTGCAAATTTTGAGATGAACACCGCGTGCCTTAACGCGCAGTGCGGTTGTAATTTCATGAATCCAAAGGAAACACATGCGCAGCAGCTTATTGGTAGAAAATCATGCATGAAAGTATCTTGTGGGAAGGCGAAAAAGCATGTTTAATGGCGACAAGCGCGAATACCGTCATTCCGTAGATGTAAGTTGTTTTTGTGGTGACTGTTCTTGCTGCGGCTGCCGCGTTGCTACAACCGGTAGCAGACAAATTCGATGAGCGTGCTAGAAGACGAGAAAAGACATAGCTGAGCAGATTCAACATTTGACGTGATGCACGATGCGGCTACCGTATGAACGGCTCCACAATGTGGCAGACCAGGCGGTGGGTAACGGTTCCGTTGGCATAGACATACGTCTATAGTCGTGCAGCTGATACGTATACGCCTTCAAGCCTGGAGATAAGCTTTGACTTAGTGCAGTGTCTCATGAACATGAATTCAGGAGCCCTTG